ATAAAGTTCTATTTAAACTAGTAATAGAGGTTCTATATTCCACCTAGAATGAATGAATCACATACATACCTGAAAGAGACTACAAGACTAAAAACTTTCATGAGCTGGGTTGTTTTTGCCATATTGTGCAATATTAGGTTTGCATCTATCATTAAATGGAATATGTCATGGTATAACATTTAAATGTAATATTATAGTGACGTCATAGTTGTATTCTGACTTAATGTAAGATATTATTTTATGTTCTTGTTTAGAACTTTCCCATCTATGTTATTTTAGTAACATAGCACAATTCTTAACTTTTACACACAACTTCAATTATTATAATTTAAACTTCATTCAGCTCAAATTTTTAGCAGGAAAAATCCTGTTCAATAAAAAAACTACATAAACAATAAATCTTTTTGATTCCTCATGGACTGATATTATAAGTTTCCCGACTGTAATGTCAACTTTGTTAGCTGCTAAAGTACAACTTTTCATACCTGACTATCTATTTTTTCTTCCACTGCTCTTAGATAAAAACTTGTGAGCAAACATGTGCAAAATTTATTAGATTCTTTTTGTTAATATGTATGGTAAAACTGCTAAGAAAAAACTGCTGACCTTTCCGAATTTTGCTAAGAAATACTTTTTATCTGCAGGTGCTGAGTTGAGTTGGGTTTGAGTGTACAAACTCAAAATCATAGAAACATTTTTAACGCATCACTTGATGAGAATTCTTATTTAATTACAAAACTTTTTTCCAAGTCATTAAAACGTAACATTAAACGTCAATTGATCTTCTCCAATAATTCACTTACAAACTCTGAATGAGTGTAATGGAAGTTGGAGTGGTTTTAGTGGCCTCTGTGAAGGTAAATTGAATATAATTTAGTTTTTGAAGTATAAGAATATAAGGTCTTAATGTAGCGCTATTCGTTTTTACTCGTAGGTGTAAATCAATTAATTATAAAAATCGCAAATTTACTTCATTATAAATTTTATTAAGTTGAAAATGATTAATTAATTCATTATGACAGCAAAAGGCTCTTGAAAATTAACCCCAGTAATAAGCTAAAAAATTAAAAAAATTTGAAAAAGAAATTATATGACAAATTTAAGTAAAATATGAATACATACGAGCTGTAGATGTTTGGTATTCATCGTTATGATCGTTATCACCTCTCGATATCTGACCATTGTTAGCGAAAACATTAACCCAAACATTTGGTAAAGATTTCAAAGCATTCATGACGGAGTCTGGTAAGCCCACTACATTTCCGTAATCATCTGTAACAGTTGGTAGATAATATGCACTACTTAAAGCGATTACCGCGGTGAAAATTAAAACCATCGATAGTTTCATTTTTATAGAATAAAAGCTTAATCGCTTAAAACGAACTTATATACAAAATTTTCTTACAATATGTACTGATTATATCAGAGTACTTACTTAGAAGATTATATCAGAGTTCTTTATATTTGATTAATAATGCATTGTTAGGTGTAATGCGATATTTAAACAAGTGACAATGTTTAGTTCTACACTACTGCTAATTTAATTGAAACCCTCTATAATGTTTGTTTAACTGTTTTCATTATATTGTTTTCTAGTTTTAATTAATTAACAAAGAAGTATTCGATCCACATAACGTATATGATGAGTTAAGTGTTAAGCAGAGGTTGGGTATGTGGAGATAATAGTGTTATTAGTATTATCTTGACATATTCTGCAGATTATAACTAATTTATATAATTATAACTAATAATTAAATTTATTTATATTGCTTCAGGAAATTCTGAGCCAGAGTACATTATTGAAAACAAGAAGAAATGTTTCATCTACTTTGAAGACAATGGTTATTATTTTAAATAGATATTTCTCGTATTTTAAGTATGCTATTCCAAATGTAGAACTTCTGACAGAATACACAGAAGTAAATCAGAGGTATCTAGAATAATGTCTTTTTATTTCTTCAGTGCACTGAGCCATAGGACGGCATGAGGATAGACTTAGCCTAACTTGTGGTATCTCATGCAATACGTGTCTACCAGCTCTCGAAGGACACCAGAGCATCTAATGTGTCTATGTTCAGGTTTGGCCAGAACAAGGCTTAAGTTACTGCGAGCCCCCTTCTTCAACACACTCGACGAAATCTCTAGCATTAGCATTGGCCAGATTCTTGCCTTTATAAATGCCTTTGGCTAGTTCTAACTTCTTCTCTATACTACCCACTATTACGGGGTTTTGTTGATTCAAAACGGCTTTTTAGCTCGTTCCTCCCTCCACCGCAACTTACAATCTAATTAACTAAATATGGTATTACTCCAAATTGTCGGATAAGTTTAATAATAAAGAGTTTGAAAGAAAATAATAATTTTACTATTATTTAAATTAAAGATAAGCTTATTACATTTTTTAATAAATTTAATTTGAAATTCTATTTATCATTATTTATTAGATTGAAAATAATAAAAAGAACCAAAATATTCACCAATAGCCAACACGTAAATACTTTATGAAGTCAACATATTGCTGGCGTCTACAGATAATTGCACACCATCGATTAGACAATTTGCGCTCAGGTCACCCCCACCCTCGAACGTAATAACTTCATTAATTTTTGTCACTTAATTTACGAGTTACCAGTTTAATATTTTGACACTTGAATTCCGTTGCATTACTATGTGTGTTAATTGTCCAAATTTAATTGGTGTTAGATTGTAAAATCAAATTGTGGAGGTGGGAAATAAATAGTTGCTTCAAATACAGTGGAGATAAAATAGATTACGAATCATATAAATTTTTAAAGCTTAATGGATTTTATATTACGTCGAGTAGAAAACGAAAATAAATGATTCGATTGGTATTAAAATACTACTTTACTACTGCTGTCAAGAAGTTTTTATAAGACCTTCTTCGAATTTAATTAAATTTTTACGGGAAAACATATAGAATTTAAACTGCGTACACTCGTAAAAAAAATTTTTTTTGATTGAAAAATAGTAGGCAAATAAATGAAACTTATATTGGAAAGTAAATGTGCTATTAATGTCGGTGTAAAGTCGGTGAATAAAAAATAAGCTAGCGCTTTTATCAGCTGTTTTTTGAAATTCGCTTGAATGAATCTATACGCTTTCACAATAAAACTCAAAGTTTTTCTAGAATTTCACAACATAATTTACTAAATTAATTAAATTATTTAAATTGAATTAAATGAAATTAAATGAAATGAAATTAAATCAAGTTAAATCAAATCAAATTATATTAAAAAAAATTAAATCAAATTATATAAAATTAAATGAAATTAAAAAAATTAAATAAAATTAACTAAAATAAAATTAAATTTAATTTAATTTAATTAAGTTAAAATAAATTAAAATAAATTGAGTTCAAATCATATTATTATTGACACCTTAATTTAGAATAAATAGTACCAAAGATGCAATAAAAATAATTAGTATGAATAATTTAATAATATTCCTAGAAACTTTTGTACGAACTTTTATTGTGTTCCACTGTAAAAGTATTTAATTTTATGTCACACCTGTCAATTCGGAAATTGCAAAGCAGTTGAAAACGGAATAAAAAAGATAAGAAAAATGAAATGTATTTGTAAATTGACGCAGGAATAAGAATAACCTGTAGAATCAATAAAAAAGTGTTTTCCAGTACAGCTATTAAGCTAGGATCGCTGTGGCGTAGTAGACGGAATATAATGAATGACCACAGGATATTTGCAAAGAATATTTTAAAATTTATTTTGTGTGTTATTAACACACACATATTTTATTAATATTTGTAAAATTTAGACTGGAAATATGTCTGAACTC